CAGACAGGTTTTATGTTTTGATGTGATGTCTCTTTAAAGGTTCCAGAAATAAAGAGAAACTACTTGAACTAGGCTAATGTCCTCCTTAGACTTATATGCATTCACATATTATAATTGTAAGCCTGATTCTATTTTTAGTCAGAATTAGAGGACATTAGATAACTTTTACATTACATTTATAGACTGTTTATTACTGAGTCATTGAGTAGAATTAAATAACCACCCCTGTTTTCAATACTGTGTGGCTGACAATAGATATAACTAAGAATTTGTTTACAATAAACTAGGCTGACAATCTATATAAAAACTAGCTTTTATATTTTTACTACACTTTCCTCTCAAATTTATCCATCCTTCTAAGCTATCTTATAATTTGTTGGTTTTGTCTGAATAATGCTAGAAAATTAACACGTCATTATTTAGGGCTATGATCTGTGGAAAATTGTTACCTTGAGTACCTAAGAAGAGTATCAGTAAAAGCTCTATGCTGAAGTGTAGACATGTTTGTGCTGTTGTTCAAAGCATTTTCCTATCCTCTGGTGCTGTTTGGTAAGCTGAGAGCAGTCAGGATTGTAAATTGCTGACTCCTTGAAGACATAATACACAATGGCACTGAAACCACTAACATGACACTCATTCTTTATCTTGTATGAAATATGTAAATAAAATAATACTTTTTAAAATATTTGAAGTTAAAGAAGGTAAATGTAGCTTGTTTTGCTTTTGAAAGCTAATCTATGTTATTTGATAACAGAAGTGCTGGAAAGTGTAGTGTTTCTGTATTGTGTCACAGAATAGCAACCTTAGATTTTATATATCCAAAATCTGCCCTTACTTTTTTTAAAGGTTATATTTAGTCTGTTTATAAGTCCAATGAATAAAATTTGAAAAACTTGGAACTGGTCAATTAATTGTTATTTTGGGAAACAGTTTTTAAAATTTTAATGTAATTAGTAACAGTGACATCACTCAGGGTGTATGTCCTAATTTTTACAATTTTGTTAGTATCTATTTTTGTTCTATAGTGAAGACACAAAAGAGGGCTTTACTTTTTATGTAAAAATTCTGAAATTTAAAATTTAATGAACGATTTTTTTCATTTATTTTAAGTTAAACCTTAGGTTCCCAAGTAGCAACTGTCAGGAGCACTGAGAGATACATTAATTTTCTAGTAAAACTTAGCAATATTTGTTGGATATCAAGAAAATGACTAGTTTGAAAAGTGCTACAGACTGCATATTTGTATCACCCCCAAATTCATATCTTGAAATTCTAGCCCCCAAAGTAATGCTATTAAGATGTAGGGCCTTTGGGCCTGTTGTTATTTAATAAACTGTTAGTTATTTCTTCTTGTTAAAAGAGGCCATGAAAAATTATTGGGATACTAAGCTACTGTGAACTGAGAAAGTTTGCGAGCCCCTGAGATAATCAATTCATTGATTTAATAAATAGGTGCTGAATTCTATGTGACAGGTGCTGTTCCAAGTTCTGGTACATAGTGATGAATAAAACAATCATGGTTGCTGGCTCCATGGATTTTACTGTCCACTGTAGGCTTTTGCCAAGTTGTTAATCTATGACAAGACAGTAAAATTATATGAGTTACGCTGCATACCGAGGAAATGCTATCTACTATTTATATGCTTTTATATACCTGCAATCTATTTTCACTGCTAGATTTTTTTTACTACATTTATTCTATGTCAAGGTTGCTCCTGGACAACACTGTAAGACAGATGGAGTGTCCTGCATCCTTTGGCATTCTTTTCCATGGCCTTCATTCATTCATGGCACAATTGTTTCTCAAGTCCCTGGACTGTTATTAGCTTCCATGGCTGCACAGAATTCTTCATTTTATCTTTTCTCCTGAGCTTACATTACCAGAAATGACTCATGTGGCAGACTTACGCCTCCCAATTTTATTCATCTACTAAAATATCCATTTTCAGACTAAACCATATCCTAACAAAAAAATTCAAAGGAATGATGTTATTTTGGTAGAAATATGTATATATACACACAACACAATACAAATACACACACACCCCATAGTGAGAGTAAAGTCAGGAGATATGGAAAATCTTGGAAAAAGGTTCATATTGTACCATAAAATCTACTTATCTTTTCCTTTTGTATGTGGGAAGCTAGCTATTTTTTAATCGTATTTTTAGCACTTGTCCTCAGTAAGTCCCTTTGCATTCCACCTATATACCTTACCCATTCTAAGTTGCTTTTTTTATTATTAGCCAAAAGAAATCCCTTCCTTCATTGTCCTCAATCTCTCTTTCATGCAGGTGCACTTCCATAACATATCTCTGGTTGAAGATTTTCTCCAGGCTGCAATTTCCTGAAAGTTATGGTCTTCCAATCCATATCTTGAAGTATTTTAAGATCAATATTCCCTGTTAAATTCAACCTGTAACAATTATACTGCTTTTTCCAATTCTTCTTCCTTTCAATAGGGATTTAGTCTCTAATTGTTGATTCTATGTTATTTAACATTTTGTATCCAATGCTACTAAATAGATTGTACAGTCCTTTCCAATCTACCAACTAGATTGGATATTCCTTTCTAGTAATAGCCACTTATTTTACTTGGAGAAATTCTGCCCTGGGATATGAGTATTGTGGTTCATTTTCCCTATAAAAATTATGTGTGAGAAATTACTTATATGCCATTTTTTTTCCTGAAAAATGTAATTTGATACAATGGTAAAAGAAAAAAGGATGGGGGAGCCAGATGACATGTCAGACAAACTCCAGAAATCCTCCGAGCCTTGGTTTCCTTTTCCACAAGCAAGAGATCTCGCTGGGGTTTTTTCTGACATTAAAGGAAACAAACACTTTGCACAAAACTTAGAACAGAATAGGAACACAGCCTGTGCCCTATTCACCCCCTTCTGTACCCTGAGGACAAGGCTGAAAACATCAACAGAGGGCGACAGCTGATCTGGGTCCCTCAGTCTGGGAAGCTTGCAGTTTGGGTTCAGTGTGGATTCCCTGTCTGTGGGTAGAGGGCTGAGGACTTTAAACCGTGGTCAGACTCCCCGGCCTGTGGGCACTGTGCTGGGGACGGAAAACAGAGCCCTCTGAAGGCGCAATGACATGCCATCTGCATTTCTTATAGAGAATGTATGCTTCTTTCCATCGGGAAACATTCTCATATGGCCTGGCCTTGTCGCAGTTTCCAACAAGGACTGGTCTTAAATTTTGCAATTAAGGTGTCCCTTGGCCACAGCCAGAAAAGAAACTGAGTTTTCTTTTTTTTTTTTTTTTCGAGACAGAGTTTTGCTCTTGTTACCCAGGCTGGAGTGCAATGGCGCCATCTCGGCTCACTGCAACCTCCGCCTCCTGGGTTCAGGCAATTCTCCTGCCTCAGCCTCCTGCGTACCCGGGATTACAGGCACGCGCCACCATGCCCAGCTAATTTTTTTGTATTTTTAGTAGAGACGGGGTTTCACCATTTTGACCAGGATGGTCTCGATCTCTTGACCTAGTGATCCACCTGTCTCGGCCTCCCAAAGTGCTGGGATTACAGGCGTGAGCCACCGCGCCCAGATAGTTTTGTATTTTAAAGTAACAAAACCACTCTTCAAGTAAGGATCACCACCTCTCTATGAAGGCAAAACTAAAAAATAGAGACCCAAGAATATTTCAAATGGCTACAATATTATCACAGGACAAATGGCTAGGCTGAGCGCCGTGGCTCACGCCTGTAATCCCAGCCCTTTTGGAGGCCAAGGTGGGAGGATCACCTTAGGTCAGAAGTTCAAGACCAGCCTGGCCAATGTGGTGAAATACTGTCTCTACTAAAAATAAAAATTAGCCAGGCATAGTGACAGGTGCCTGTAATGCCAGATACTCAGGAGACTGAGGCAGGAGAATCGCTTGAACCCAGGAGGTGGAAGTTGTAGTAAGCTGAGATCGCGCCACAGCACTCCCGCCTGGGCACCAGAGCTAGACTCTGTTTCAAAAAAAATTAAAAAAAAAAAAAAAAAAAAGCAAAGAGAGGTGGCTAGATTTGCAAGGGTGAGGGGACCAGTCATTTAGATAAATACGTTTTTGTATTTTAACTTAAAATAGACATTTCTGGCTGGGCATAGTGGGTCATACCTGTAATCACAGCACTTTGAGATGCCGAGGTGGGCAGATCATCGGTCAGAGGTTCGAGAGCAGCCTGGCCAACATGGAGAAACTCCATCTCTACTAAAAATACAAGAATTAGCCAGGCATGGTGGAGCGCACCTGTAATCGCAACTACTCGGGAGGCTGAGGCAGGAGAGTCACTTGAACCCAGGAGGTGGAGGTTACAGTGAGTCAAGATAGTGCCACTGCACTCCAACCTGGCGAGAGAGACTTCATCTCAAAATTAAAAAAAACCCACTATATAAAAGGGCTGTATCCACAGCTGGGCCTCATTTTGGTTATTAGATTCTGGACTTTGGGCTGATATTGTAATGGGCTGAGATTTTTGAAGGTCTTGGGAGGTTGTATTTTTTACATGTGGGAAGAAGATGAATCAACGAGGGGCCAGAGAATAGATTGTTATAGTTAGCCTCCAAGATGGACCCCGATGCTCCCCACCTCTTAGAATTCAGTATTTTGTGTAAGCACCTCTTAAGTGTGAACTGAGCCTAGTGACTAGCTTCTAATCAAAAGAATAAGGCAGAAGTGTTGGTATACATTTTAAAGACGACGTCAGAAATGTAGTGTTACTTCTGCTCTCCCTCTCAGTGTCTCTCTCTCTCTCTCTCTCTCTCTTTTTCTATCACTCAGTCTGAGCAGCCATGGCCGCCCAAAGTGCTGGGATTACAGGCTTGAGCCACGGTGTATTTTGTAAAAAATACAAAAATTAGCCAAGGGTGGTAGCCCAAACCCCACCTACCACAGCGGCGGTCAACCTCAACCTCCCTTAGCAACCTGCGTGCCCCGCCCAGGAGCCTTACTATTGGTGTCGTGGAGCGGGATGGGCAGCTCTGCCGTGCAATCCCAGCTCGCAGTCCTTAGTTCCGCGTGTATTCACTGGAGGGCTCTCAGGCTTTACCGCACTGCAGCGTGCCCTGCGGCGCACGCGCGCGCGGGCGGGGTCTGTGTGCTGCGGGGCGCGGAGCCGGAGCAGGGGAGGAGAAGCGCTTGGGCACAGCCGAGACTGTAGTGTCCACTGCTCGCCTCAGTAGCCACCGCTTTAACCGGTGGAGCCGCCGCCTAGTGTCTTTCTCAGTGGCGAAGGTGAGGAGCTGTCCCGGCTTGGCCTGCGGGGGAGCCCCGGGAGCCACAAGGTGAGAGCGCAACCTAGTTGGCGGAGTTGGGGGAAGTTTTGATTTGAGGAGGGGGGCGGGGGCCGCGGCGGGTTTTAGGGGCTGGCGGGACGGACGGGTTGCCTGGTGGCCCCGGGACCTCTACTCTGCGGACCGTCCTCCCTTCGCGTCACCCTTCTCCCGCATTGTCGTGCTCGCCGGTGCTCGGCGCGCCTCCCACCCCGCAGCGCCACTTGGGTCAGTCACCGCTCTCCGGATCGGAGACGCGCTCGGCCGCGGAGGTCCCCTCAGGAGCCCCGCCGCCAGTGAGGCCCCGAACCTCTGGCGCCGGTCCCCGGGTCAGCGCCGCGGGGACAGGCTCACTCCTCCCCTGGGGCTGGCGGCGGTGGTATGGAGTCCGCGCCGCGAACCACTTCTGCGGGCGCGAGGGAGCCGTTCCCCGGGGCCGACCCGAGCGGTAAACACGTCCGGCCGCGCCCGCCTGCCCGGGCCGTTCTGTGCCTTCTCCGGGGCGCGGCCCGGCTGAAACCATTTTTAAGTGTAGAGGCAGTGTCATTAAGGTACATCACACTGTCATGCAACTATCACCAGTGTCCATTTCCTTTACTTTTTTTTTTTTTTTTTTTTACTCTCTTCACGTTGCAGAACTGAAATTTTGTACGCATGAAACAGTAACACCATTTCTTCCTCCTCCTTGTCCTGGCAAATACTTTGTTTCTATAAATTTGATTATTCTAGGTACTTTATGTAAATGATACCACACTAAAGTGTTTTGTGTTCTTGTGACTGGCTTACTTCACTGAGCACAGTGTCATTAGAATTCATCCATGTAGCAAGTGTCAGAATGTATTTCCTTTTAAAGGCAGAATAATCCATTGTATGTATATACCACATTTTGTTCATCCATCCACCAATGGACACTAGAGTTGTTTCCACATATGGGTTGTTATGAATACTGTTGCTTTGACTGTGGGTGTGCAGATGTCTTTTCAAGTCCCTGCTTTTAGTTCTTTGGCGTGTGTACCCACAGGTGGAATTGCTGGATCATATGGTAATTCTATTTCTAATTTTTTGAGGAGCTGCCATACTGTTTTCCATGGTGGCTGCATCGTTTTACATTTCTAACAGCAGTGCTCAAGTGTTCCATTTTGTCTGCAACCTCACCAACACTTGCTATTTTCTGTTTTTGTGATAAGTCGTCTTATAGCGTCTGAAGTGGTATCTCACTGTAGTTTTGATTTGCATTTTTCTAGTAATTAGTGATGTAAGCATCTTCTCATGTGGTTATTGATCATTTGTATATCTTCTTTGGAGAAATACCTGTTCAAATCCTTTGCCCATTTTAAGTTTTTTATTTAATTTCTTTTTTTGAGATGGAGTTTGACCCTTCGCCTAGGCTGGAGTATAGTGATGCGATCTCTGCCCATTGTAACCTCCGCCTCCCAGGTTCAGGTGATTCTCTGGCCTCTGCCTCCCGAGTAGCTGGAATTGCAGGTGCCCACCACCACACCTAGCTCATTTTTTTGTATTTTTAATGGAGACAGGTTTTACCATATTGTCCAGGCTGGTCTTGAACTCCTGACCTCAGGTGATCTGCCTGCCTTGGCGTCCCAAAGTGCTTGGATTATGGGCATGAGCCACGGTGCCTGGCCCATTGCCCATTTTTTAAATTGGTTGTAGGAATTCTTTATGTATTCTAAATAATCCCTCATCAGATAAGAGTTGCTGACATTTTCTCCCATTCTGTGGGTTGTCTTTTCACTCTGTTGGTTCTGTTCTTTGATGCAGCCAGTAGTTTTTTAATGAACCTTAAATTATAAGGGACATCGATGCTTTTATAGTAATTTTATTGAGTTCAAATGAAGAATTATTTTCTTCCATTTTCCTTTGGAGGAGTATGATAAAATTTTAGAATTTGAAAGAGGGTAGGTATTCACTTTTTCTGGAATTTTACTTTCTCGGTAGGATTTACTGACCTAGTATCACTTGAGTAATGTCTCCTTCCTTTTGTTTCCTTTCTTTTTTTATGGCCCTCAGGTGTGGCTATTAGAATAAGCATCATGACCATGATTTTGCTGGGCTGGTCATTCATCACCAGCTGTCCAGTTAGAAGCAAGTCTGGTCATATCTGCTTTTGTGTACCACGTCTTAACAGTTGTAGTTACCTTGGGGTTGTCTCCCTACTCAGGCCCTTCTTTTCAACTTTCACCTGGGTCATGAGTAGGTCTTCTGCTTCAGGTTTCTCTTATTTTTCCTGCATGCTTTTTAGATTGGCCTTTGCAAAACACCTCAGAAATTTGAACTTATTTCAGGGGCTTTGTGATGCTTTTAGGATCAGATTCTCACTACTAAGCTTGGCAGTCCAACTCCTTCTACCTAGACCTTAACCCCCTTTTCCAGTTTTTTTCTTTCCTAATCATTGTTATATTGGTGGTATTAGTCAAAGCATTTTATGTTCCTTGGGCTGGGGTAGGAAGCACCTTCCGGTGCTTGACAGCTGGGACATTTCTCCTCTGTGACTCTTCCGATTTACCCTCTGTCACCTGGAGGTGCCTGTACTGTGCCCTCTGCTTGGAATGCTATCATCTCTTTAACTTGCCTGGTTTTTCAGAGCCTAATTTAAATCCGTTTCCTCCTTGCATCCTTCTGTAGCTGATCCAGTTCATAGAGATCATTTTCCTTTCACAAAATGATGGTATTTATTTTCTGTGCTGTTTCATTGGGCAGTTGATTGTAAATGTCTGTGTGTTGTGTTAGCTTTTTGTGTGTTTGAAAAAAATGTTCGGGCCGGGCGTGGTGGCTCATGCCTGTAATCTAAGCACTTTGGAGGCCAAGGCAGGTGGATCACCTGAGGTTGGGAGTTCAAGACCAGCCTGACCAACATGGTGAAACCCTGTCTTTAAAAAAAAAAAAATGTTCTGTCCCCCTTAGTTTCTTGTAGTAGTAATCATGACTTGTACTCTATACAGGTTCTGTACATGTGGGTAATTGATGGATCTTCATTGATCCTGTAACATTGGTTCTCCAAGTGTAGATAATAAACCTTGTTCTCCAAGTGTAGGCAATAGACCTTGTTCTCCAAGTGTAGGCAATAGACCGTTGGACATTCCTGAGACCCTTTCAGTGAGTCTGTGAGGTCAACACATGAAAACATTATTTACCTTTTTATAGTGTTCAGACATTTGACCTGTAGTGCAAAAGCAACAATGGGTGAAGCTGCCGATGCCTTAGAATCAGTCAGGACACTGAACTCCAGTAGTCACGGTATTCATTACGGTCACGTACTGTGAGTGAAAAATAATGCCAGTTCCACTTAATGTCCTTGATGAAGTCGTGAACATCATTACATTTATGAAATCTCAACCTTTGAGTTCGCATTTAAGTGTGTGAAGGAGAGGGAAGGATGCACAGAGGAGCTCTGCACATGGAAGTGCTGTGGTTGTCTGGAGGAAGAAAGAGCTCTCCTGCGATTGACTTCAGGGTGAACAAATTGCTTTTTTAAATGAAACTCCATTTTATTTGAAGGGAGGAATGTGATAAGCTGTAGTTATCCAGAAATTGGCTGTTTGGCAGATAGTTATTGAAAATAAGGTAAGACTTACTTCAGGGAAGTAATGGACAGTATTTGTTGCTAGTGATCAAATTTGAGTCTGCAAGTGAAAATCAAGTTTTGGAAAACATGAATTTGCCATCATGAGCTTGATAGCTTTTCAGTATTTAAAAGCTTTATGAGTATAGTAATGATATTAACAAATGCGATTTTTTGATATTGTATAATGAAATTATCTACATTTGGAAGATCTGCATAACTCAGGGAACCAGTATTTTCACAAATGATCAGTGTATGATGTTACAGCAAAATCATGCTTTGGTAAAAGAGTCATTCAAAGTGAACGATCAATGACTTTTAATGTAACAGTACAAAACAGTCATTGATAGGGTCTCAAGTTTCACATTGCGACTAACCTTTTAAGAAACTACCACTTGTCAAATTTTGGTGTAACATGGAAAAAGAATATTAACCATCCAAAAAGACTATTAAAATACTACTCCTTTTTAAAATTGTGTATCTATGTGAGGCAAAATTTTCAAAATGTACTTCCCCAAACAGTGTAACAGTTTGAATGCAGAAGCAGACATGAGAATCCAGCTGTCTTCTATTAAGCCAGACATTTAAATTGCCAAAATGTAAAACAGTGGCATGTTTTTATTTCTGTTTTGTTTTGGAAAACAGTTATTTTTCATAAAAAATGTTTATTTCGTGTGTAATGAGTTCATTGAATTTTAAAATGAATTAATATTTTATAAAATTTTCCATTTTAATTTGTGATACAATAAAGTACCAGTAAATATAACCCACATAACAAAAGTTCTTTGGGATCCTCAAGTTTTAGGAGTAAAAAGAAGGGATCCCAGGCAACCAATAACTTCCAGACAGCTGATTATAGTTTATAGTGGATTGAAAAAGCTGAAATACTCAAGTATTTTCTCATGAAATACTTTAGTTTCTTGCTTATTAGAAAATCTTTATAGAAGCAGCACAGAGGAAAATAATTTGTTTCTACTTTTATTATGTTGAGTTATAGTTATTGGGCACTATATATGTGACTGATGCTGCACTGAGCACTGTACCCATATTATTTCCTGTAACCTTTAACTTATCCTTCAACATATTTATTATCTTAGTTTTACAAATCAGGGGGCTAAGGCAGTGGCAGGTTAAGTAATTGGCCCAAGCTTCTTCAAGAGGTAAATAGTAGAGCCAAGTTTTAGACTTAGTGTTAAGTTGAAATTGAAAGCCGAGCTTTTTGTCATGATGTTCTGCTGCCTCACAGAAAAGTTTGTAAGTCAGCACTGTTTACGCACTACAAAAGGATTGTTAGGGAGAAGTGCAGAATGCTGTTGTCTGAAGATTGCTGATGCGAGGTTGAGCAGTGGCTGAAGATCCTGCTCATGCTTTCTTTTCATCCCAGACCACATAGTTTTGTACTGTTTGGTGAAACTGGATCTTTAGAACGTGG